GCGTCAGGAGCTCTGCCGCGGAGTCGTGGGTGAGTCCGTGAGGCGCATCATGGCCGCAAAGCCATCCCACGCACGTGAACGCCACAAATCTCCCCTGCGCAGACCGCAGGCGCGTCCCGCCGGCAGGACAACCCTTTTCCACTTGCGGGCATCGCCTACACATTTCAGACTATCACACCCGGCAGAGCGCCCAAGGCGGCCGCGGGCCCGGGCCGAACTGGCACGACAGCCATGCCGCAAGAAGGCGCGGGGCAGCTGCTCACTGGCTTCCTCCATCCAGGCCTTCCAGGTGGCGGTGAGCGCCTCCTTGCTGCCGCCCTCAACCACCTCGAAGCGCACGGCGGCGGTCAGGTCAGGCAGCGACTGCATGTGCGCCGCCACGCTGGCGTTGACCTGCGGATTTTGGGGGTCGAGGGAGGCCACTGCTTCAGTGCACAGGTCCACGGAGCGCGAGGGGAGGCACGAGGGACCGCAAAGCGCCAACGCCGCAGCGTGCATCGCTCGCTCGTGCGGCGGCCCTCATACCTTGCGGCTGAGGCCAATGTACTGCAGCTCGTCATTGGCATTGTATACAGCGTACACGCCGGGCGCGTCGGGGTACTGGCTCATCTCGCCGCGTTCCATGACCGGCACCAAGGCCGCGTCGTTCAGCTTGCCGCGGGCGCGCACGCCGCGGCGCGGCGCCGGCGCAGGAGCGGCAGGCCGCCGCGCAGCGGCGCGCCCGCTGCAGGCCGGGCTGCTGGTGTGGACGATTCGACCCGCAAGCATGGTTGCCAATGAGCGGCGTCAGAGGCTTGCAGCTGCGCTGTGTGCGACAAGGTGCAGTGACTCTGAAGAGCTTGACGAACGAATAGCTTCGCGAACGGCGTCAATGCAGAATTCAATTGTATTTCATCTGATAATCCGGCCATTTCGTGTACACATGCGTTTGACTCTTTCTCGCCCTATCGAGTGCCACTGTACAGCACTCCACGGTGTATGCGCGCGGCCCATCGCCTGCGGCCGGCAGTACTTGCCTGCAGCCCCTGAGTGCTTGCCCGTTCAACAGGCCCATCAGCGGCAAAGACTGGTGCGGCCACGGTTGCAGCACACGAGCACACGTCAGCTTTGCAGTCCACGCAGTGCATGTGCAAATGCAAGGCGTCACCGGCCAGGCTACGTACTGGCAACGCCCTTGTTGTCAACAGCACGTATGAATAACCGGTAGGGAGCACGACCGCGGCTTGCACTGCCTTGGCGCAAATGCCGCTGCAAGACGTGTTGAGCTCATCAGACACCTCTATACGCCCCACCTGGCCCGGGTGGGTGCTGCTGTGTTATGTCAAGTACGTCCAGAAACAATGGCTCTCCATGTTAGTCCCTCAGGCGTTAAGCACCTGAAGCCACCCACAGTATGAGGGGGAGGCAGTGGTGGCCGCAGTCCGGAGGATTTGCGGTCACGTGCAGCCGGATGGCTCTGGCGGTGCATGCCAAGTTGTGGTCGACAGCACCCTCAAAAGGTGCAGTTGTGAAACCCTGCAACAACATTATCAATGGCATTCCTGGTTGCTAGCCTTTGAATGAAGGCAGTGGCTTGTCAAGCGCAGGGGATGTGACCAGTGACATCAGCAGACGCGCGCCTCTTTGCAGTCTGCAGACTATGACGCTGGTTGCTGCCGCCGCGCACCTGCTGCAAGCGGCAGGGTCGACCCTGCCTCTCCTTGACGTCAAGGGTACTGACAGGCTGTTGGTAGCGGAGCAGCCACATTCGTTCCAGGGTAAACCCAGGGTGCGCATGCATGTGCCGCCTTGCAGCAGCTACACACGGGGAACGAGCAAAGCAGCAGGGTTCCAGTGCGGCTATCCCAATCCGGCTGTGGTCACCGTCACCGACACGCGATATGCTGTGCACCCTGCACATGCATTCGTTGTGTTCCGCCAGGCAGCATTGACCTTTCAGCAAACTGCGCGTAGCGAGGAGAGTATGGCCTAGGCGCAGTGGGGCTGTAGGGCTTTGTCCCGGATTCGTGGGCAGAGTTTGTCATACCCCCCCATTTGTGATGTCACCTCAGCGGATCCCCTGAGGAGCAAGGGAGGGTCCACATCACCATATCCCCCCTGTGTGTGTGTGAACGTGCTGGTTGTAAGTGGCACCTAGGTTATCTCCGCATGATGATAATTTTGGCGTTACAGGTGGCTGTAGAGGCATAACATGCCACAAACCCACAATGTGCATGGAGCGGTGATCAAGCGGCGGGTGCGATCTTGCTGTGACGGAGCGCGCATCGCACAGTGATGTTGCCTGCAGGCAGGCACTTGCGCACTCTGAACACATATGAAGTGGAATTCGAGGTTTGTTACCCCGCTCTGAGCTCTCGCGACGCTGTGAATCAGATTGACTCCTGACAGACCAGGACGGCCAGAAGTGCAATGCTTGTGAAGCTGTGATTCGCACTCTCGATTCGCGATCGCGTCTTGCTTGCATGTACGGCTCTTCCGCGTACGCTTGCTTTTTTTGCTGACCACGTGCGTGCACACACAGTTTGAGTGATATCAACCACGCGCTCACGGCCCGCGCGTTGCTCTACCTCCTGGACTGCTTGTCGCAAATTGTATCTCGTCTCAAAAGTAACTGGAGTCCCCCGGAAGCGTCATCCCGATCAGAGCATTCGGCACTGGTGCTCCCCACCAACAGCACCACCCTAGAGCGCGCTCTTCACAGAGCGTCAGACACATCCAGCAGCAGCAATGTTACCGCTTCTCAGAGCGCGCCCTTGCCCAAGCAGGTTCGTCCCCAGCCGTACCCCACAGCTCACCCATGCGCGTCCCAGCGTCAGTACCTCCGCTTCTTCGTCGGGATCCCCGCAGCTGCAGCCCGTCGCGCCCGTCGTCACACCAGATGCGCAGGCGCACCACCAGCAGCCGCCACGTGCGTCGGTGATCCCGCAATCCGCCGCCCGCGAGGACACGCTGCGCCCCCTCTCGCGCGACGCCGCCGCCGCCGAGGCCACCGCCGCCGCCGCGCCGCAGCCCCCGCCCCCGCCGCACATCCCGTCCGCGGCGGAGAGCGCGTCGGCGGCGAGTGCTGCGGTGGAGCTTGCGGCGGGCCTGCTGTTTGCGCCCTACTTCGCATACGCGCGCGCCCTGGAGGAGCGGCCGCTGCTCACCAAGGCTTGCACCAGGTAGCTTTGGTCACAGGGGCAGCGGGTTTAGTCACGGGGTCTGGGGATGGCAGGAGACCGCCGGCCGGCGCGGGGCTGACGAGCCCCGCTACGTTGATGCGAGTGCGAGGCAACAACCGCGGATGCTTGCCCATCCAGTGCGGTGTGCATACGAAGCCATGCCTGCTGCTGCATGGATGCACCCCTGAGCTTTCCGGCAGGCCGTCCCCGTTGCCGCCACCAACACAGGCCTGCCCCTTGCCCCCACTCTACCACACTCGCTGCCCCTAGGCCGTCCCCTGACACTGCCACCGTTCCCCCCCCCCCCGCCCCTCTCACCTCGCGACCAGCTTTGTCGGCTTCATGATCGGTGACGTCATCGCGCAGCACGTCGCGCACCCCGGTGCCTCGCTCGACGCGCTGCGCGTGCTGCGGCTGGGCGCGTACGGGCTGTGCATCGACGGGCCCCTGGGGGCGCTGTGGTACGACTGGCTTGAGGCCAACATCTCCCCTGACAACCCCAAGGCCATGTCAACGGTGCTGGTCAAGACGGCCCTGGACCAGGTGCACACGCAGCTCGTGGGGGGCTGTGCATGCATGCATGCATGCATGCATGCATGCAGCATGCATGCAACATGCATGCGTGCATGCATGTGTGCTCGCCCGCATCCGGACAAGCAGGTTGTCTGTGGGGCGGCCGGGGCTCTTTGGAGGTGTCGCCGCACACCCACCAGCTGGCAGGAAAGGGGAGAGTTGCACGTGCGCAGTGCTGCATCGTCTGGCCAGGCAGCGGCTATGGGCCTGGCGTCGCAGACGCCGTTGCTGCCCTTTCTACCCCGAATGCATCCTTGAGATTGTGGCCACCCTCCCCCACTCCAGCATGTCACCCTCTCTCTCTCTCTCTGTCGCTCCGTGTTTCTCTCTTTCACACACGCACACACACACACACACACACACACACACACACACACACAATCACACAATTGCAACACACACAACAGGTTGTGTACGCCAGCGTTGGCACGGCCCTCTTCTTCAGCGTGATCACGCTCATGGAGGGCCGCCCAGGGGCGGTGCCCGCGGTCGTTGCCGCCAAGTTCCTGCCCACCCTGGCAGCGAACTACGCCATCTGGCCGCTCGCGCACCTGAGTGAGCGCCCTCCCTTGCCCGCGTCGCGGTCCCTTGGCCACGCCGCTGCCGCTGCTGCGGCCATGCCTTGCTGGTTACACAGGGCTCTGAGCGCCGTGTGCAGCATGCAAACTGGCCCGCTGGCAAAGTTGGCGTCTGATCAGCCAAAGGGTTTTCTGAGCTGACAAGGCCCCTTTCCCCCCTCACTCCAACCGCCAACCCATCACGCGCCCAGTCAACTTCCGCTTCGTGCCGGCGCCGTACCGCATCGCTTACAACAATGTGGTCGCTATCGGCTGGCTGACGCTACTGTCGGCCATCACCCACTCCAAGGGGTCGTCAGTGCTGACTCACCTCGTCGGCCACGCCACCTCGCTCTTCCACCACTCGGCGTGACCGGCGGCGGTGCCCACCGCCCCTTCGCACGATACCTTCTGGCAGCTACCGGCCGCCCAGCCGGCCGGACGGGTCGTTTGGATCCCTAGTGCGCCGGCTCATGAGGCACTTTGGAGTGAATCGGCGCAGCAAAGGGCCTTGAATTACATGCGTCGGCTCTCTGGCCTTTGTGCTGGCCTCTGTTTTGGACCTGGGCTGGGCCTTTGTGGGCTCGCCCCCAGGACCATTGCAGGGCCCGGAAATCACGCTTTCCAGAGAAGAATACGAAACACGAGACCCCCAGCCGCTTGGCCGGGATGGGGTGCAGGGCCCGCGCTGCTGCCGCGGTATGCCTCTTGCTACGGGTCGATGGCCGTCACCTCATTCACCCTTGCACTCAGTCGTGCAAAGGGCTGGCGTGCGGCTGGCCGAGCGCGCCCAGGTGCCCCCACTGTGGCGCCATGGGCTATAGATTACCCGGGAAAGCGTCGGGCGCTGTGCAGGCGACGAAAGCGCCCGAGCATGCCTTGAGAGAGGGCGTCGTCATAGCAGTGTACGAGCCTGCCCCTCCATGCAGCTGCTGGCGCCTGCACCGGCGCAGCCTGCCCAGGCGTCCCCGCGGCAGGGGTCACTGCCCACCTTTGAAAACCATCATGTCGCTCCTGGCCGCGCTCAAGGCCTCAACCTTCCATGCATCCTTTTCATTTGTATTGTACCCTGCTTGTGGCCCCCTGGGGGGCATCATCCCAATGCAGTTGATGGCTTTCTTGTTGCTGCGGCACTCTTGTGCCCGTTGTTGCATCGTGCCTACGTGGCTGAGAGGTGACTGGAGCATCGCAGCTGCCTGCGCACCGTGTCCCTTGTCCTGTGGCCGGCCTCGTGGGGCGCGTGCCCCTTGCTTCCATGGCTCCATCGCAGACAGCATTCACGTTGACCGACAAGCGTCGACGTTTTGTCACTTGTCGAGAGACGGCTGCATTTGAAGTCAGCCACCCAACAGCCGGGCGACCGGCCGAGAGAGGGGCACTATCGGCCGAGCGAGAGAGCGCCGCACTGCGCGGTGCACCCTGTACCACGGGGGCATAACCCTGGCCCCTCCTACCCACCCACCCACTGCTGTCAAGCGATGGCACAGCACTGGGCGATTGCATGATGGGGCTGGCCACACGCAGCCGGCCCGCGTCTTCGCTGGTGGGCAAACACCTGGCCTTTGCCAGGGCTGGGTTTTTGGTTGCTGCCCCTTCATCTTACAACACCCAACACGTGGGAGCCTGTTGTTGCTGTCCTGCTCAACCCAATGCTGCATTGGGTGTACCGAGCCTCAGCAGCCGGGCATGCAGTGCGCAGCACGTCGCGCGCCAGAAGCAGCGCCCGCACCCGCGCAGGTCCGCACCCAGACAGTCTATTCCGCTTCCACACGTGTTTACGGCGGCCGCCCCACTGTCGCTCACTACGTTGTACGATGCCGAGGTTTGCCGTTTTTGTGCGCGCAATTGCACTCATCGCGCCCGGCAGGTGTGTCCTACGACCGCAACAGCACGTGTGACTGCGCTGCCGCACTGTCGCACACCCTGGCTTATGATGAAAAGAGTGATCTGTACTTTGGAAAAATTGGGTGTTGTCAGGCGCCTCCCTTGTAACAGTAGGCAGCTTTTTGAGCAACGTGAGGATCAGTAGCTCATGCGTAGATGTTACTCAGGCCACAGCATCAATCGGACATCACAAAACAACTAGAAGAACGACAAATACGCCATTAGTGGTCAGATACAAGCCACCCAGTGGCAAGCGCCTGGCCAGCAGTGACAAAAATTTGAGACCCTGGCCCCGTGAAGCGCAGTAACCTCGGGCCGCGCGACCAGGCACACATTCAAAACCCAACCCCTGCACACGGTGTCATGCGTGCTGCAACAGGCAGGCTCGATGTGGCGCACGACTGTGGCGCAAGCCTGATGTGTGCGACGCCAGCCGTGCGCCCTAACAACAAAGCCTAGGGCGGCTGCCTGCTGCACGGGACCCATAAGCCGGCTGCTGCTGACCCCCTCATTCGCGGTCATTGTTGAGCAGGCGGAGGATGTACTGC